ATACTATCTCGTTGGTTCAGGCAAACAGACCACCTGCAAATAAAGCTACAGCAATACTATCTCGTTGGTTCAGGCAAACAGACCACCCGCAAATATAACTTCAGCCATATACTATCTCGTTGGTTCAGGCAAACAGATCACCCGCAAATATAGCTACAGCAATACTATCTCGTTGGTTCAGGCAAACAAACCACCGGCAAATAAAGTTATAGTCATGCTTGGTATATCATAATTTGACGGATTTGCATGAGTTGCTCCTCCTCTTCAGATTCAAAACCGTTACCCTTTCTCTAAATCGGTACTACTGTAATCATAAATCAAGAGTGGTCTCCCTTCCTCTGAATATGTTCTGTCAATCATTAATCGAGAGTTGTCCCCCTTCCTCTGAATCTCTAATGTCAAGCTACATTCCAGGGGTTACGCCATCCTCGATATCCAGGGGTTACGCTCACTTTCGATCTAACGAAAGTGAGCGTAACCCCTGAAGAATCGAGGATGGTTTTGGTCTTGCTCACAAGACTGTCTTTCTGGAAATATAGGAAAAACCTGGGGAACTTCTATTGTTGATATGTGTACCTCTAACATGCTCTTATTCTACATTATGATACACGATATGAAAGAAATTCAATTCTATTAATGTACCGTTAATTCATTCAACTGTAGATCATCATCATTACTTTGAAATACATTCCACTTTCCAAAGACAAAAATAAAAATAATACAACATTGCTTGTTCTCGGAACGATGAGTTGTGTTCTTCCAAATGNCTTACTGTGAATACTGTAATTGTTAACCAAGAGTTGCCCCCCTTACTGTGAATACTGTAATTGTTAACCAAGAGTTGCCCCCTTACTCTGAATACTGTAATTGTTAACCCCAAGAGTTGCCCTGCCCCCCCCCCCTTACTTAGAATACTGTAATTGTTAACCAAGAGTTGCCCCCTTACTCTGAATACTGTAATTGTTAACCCCAAGAGTTGCCCTTCGAAGCGATTTGTGGATAGATAACTAGTTTATTTACTTTCAATTTTTATACATGATAAGTGATACGGTTATAAGTCTATGATATGCTGTACCAAATGTCGAGATCCTTGCCCAAACACCCTATACTAAATTACAAGTTTGAAAAAAAGAGTATTCTAAACAAACGACAAGAAAAAAAGACGTGGAAGTTCGTTCTTATCTTCATGTTAAATGAAGATTGTTTTAAACGAAGTTTAAACTAGAGTATTTGTTTGCGTGTTTTTTGTGACAACCCCGACAAAAGTACTTGAGCACGACACGTAAGTCCCTCAAATTATTTTGTACCTTCCCCATAGGTAAACCGGAAGTGACGAATTCGGCGGAAGTGATATTTGTAGTTACATTATGTAAATATCAAGTTTTTATTTTATTTGCTTTCCAGAGATCAGCGTGTTTGACCTTGAATCGACCGATGACGTCAAAGGAATGGACATCAAGACGGACAATCATTGTTTCGGCTGTACGGCCGGAATGGGGTCCAGCTGACTAGGGGTGACCCTGAAGTAAGAAACTTCAGGGTGGTCAAATCTCGCCCAGTCACTGCCGTAGGGACGATACCATTGTCAATGGTCACTGTATCGATGTAATATCAAATGATACCCGACTTACTCCGCGACCTAGAACCATATGTTATAATAAACGGCAGTGATTTCGGGCGAAATTTTGATAGAAGATCTTTTCTTAATTATCTGTAATGATGTCTGGTGCATTAAACCGGAAGTGGTGTGCACTAGACGGATGTTGGATAATAGCATGAATTGATCTTAAGTTTGTTTTGGAAGTGGTGTAGAATTACAAATTCCTCCACACCAAAACTTGTTAGTTTGTTTTTTTGGTTTACCATTGTATTGGAAAGCAATTACATCATTCACTCCTGAAATGTCATAATGAATTATCCCAACCTTTGAATTGGAAGGGTTCAAATGTGTCTTCAGGGGTGAATGAGTTAAATATCCATGATTTCTATAAACGACGCTTTTTCTAGAAATAAATTGTCTTGATATCCATCACATCAAAATGCAGAATAGCAAAACTTGATCAGAGAAATGTCCTACATGTTTTCTTCCAAATTAAATTTGGATGACCTATGTTTAAGTAAATTAAATCCCTATTATACACTTGCATGGGACGCTGGTGGCTAGCTAAAATGTATCCTGGCTTAAATTGCACTATTTAGCAATGTATTTGTGTTCTATTTCATGTCGACGAATCAAATATATTTGTTGTAAATTTCAATCTAATTATAATAGTCGGATAATATAATCGACTGTAATTCATGTTGTGCTATTGTGAAACGATTATATTGAAAAGTAAGCTTTGCTATATCTTCTTTTAAAATATTGATTAACCCTTTCACCCAAATGTAACCTTAATAAACTCTACCATAACATGATCTGGATGAGTCCATTATGGTCTACAGTGTTGAAAGGGTTAAGGAGCCCCGTTCCACTGCAAAAAATGTAACAATACTGTAATCATCCGCCATGACCACTATAGCTTTGATAAATCATTTTTAAAAGGAAACTCATTCTTAACAGGACTTTTATGAAAATCAATAAATTTTGAATAACAATATTCTTAGTCTCGTTCAACAAGACTCTTGTTGTCGGCGCAAGGTACGCCGTGCAAAAGTTACAAGTGATCAAGCATTTGGTTGGACGAGACTACAATGGTCTTTGTTTAACAAATTCATCAAGACTAGACCGTGATTCGAACCCATGGACATCAGATTGTTATACTAGCGCTCGAACCAACTGAGGTACTTATAGTCAATGAGAGTGTATTGGCACAATTGTGCTACAATGTAGTTATAGTCAAAACGTAATTAAGGGGAGGTTACTCTATATATTAAAACATAAAACACATTCCAGTGGGACATGGTTCCTCAAAGGGTCACCGTTGCCAGTGGCGACAAAGCTGTTAATTTGGTGCTTTATTGTGTATAATACAGCTCCATGTTCGGTGCAAATTTGTAACAGCTTTTGATGCAATATTATAATGTCACATTGCACAGTCCTACCATTGATATGATATAATGTTATGGTTTGTTTGTTATTTACTGTTCACTATTCTGATGGAATACTAGTCTTGTCATCCAATATGCATTACTGTACTAGTCTTGTCATCCAATATGCATTACTGTACTAGTCATGCCATCCAATATGCATTATTGTACTAGTCATGCCACCCAATATGCATTATTGTACTAGTTTTGACATCCAATATGCACTATTGTACTAGTTTTGTCATCCAATATGCATCGCTGTACTAGCCTTGCCATCCAATATGCATCACTGTACTAGTCATGCAATCCAATATGCATGATTGTACTAGTCATGCCATCCAATATGCATTATTGTACTAGCCTCGTCATCCAATATGCTTGATGTACATTTACAACTGAAGTTTTGTCCACCATTGTTCTTGACTTCTAGCTATTCAAAATTATTCACTGTCGGCTGTATAAAACTTGTTATTGAAATAGTGTAAAGTCATAACTTATCACTTCGTTTTAATACCAAATATGAACTTAATTGACAAGGTGCGTATAATACGTATTTACATTATTGAACTATTTACTCTTATTTATAAAATATGGAATTTTGTATTTTTGTCAATGTTATTTATTGCGGCGTAAAGATTATCTAGTTATCTCCCTTGCACCACTGCGGGGTTTCGTTTTACCTGTCCGCCTTTTGTAATTCCATCAACAGCTTTTCCAGATACATTTAATAGTGTATATTTTTGTCTAGACATTGTTTCACCTTGTAATTCCAGACATCCGGGTTAATCTAGACAACGTTTAACGAATCAATACAATTTCCTTACCAACAAAAAAGATAATTGCTCCAACGAACGAGGTAAAACTCTCTTCCCCTTCACTGGTCAAGACAACATTTAATTTTATTCGTCAGGACATTGTGAAACAGTTTCAAACATTAGTGACCAGACAATATTTCCGGTCGTTAATCAGGACACTTTCCCACCCTGTTAGGTCGGAAATTTAAGTTGATTTCAAAAGTTACCTGGAAAAAAAATCTATTTAATTATATTAATTTTAAAAATGAGTTTTCCGATTTGTCTGTGACAATATTCATGTGATTTCACATGTATACATCCGCAGCTTACTTGAGTGAATCGCGCACCTGTACTTACTATTTGACGTCGGTGTCACCAGGCTAATATATACACTGTGTAGACACATTGCACACGGAGTGACGTCTAACAAGGATACGTAATTATTTCTACGTCAGCAACTCATGCACTTATTGCTTCAGTTTGNGCTTTGTGGGCAAAATTCTTTTGTTCCTGTAACAGGTCCTTTAAAACGGCAGATATTAGTCAACGGTTATGATTAAATGCGTGTCCGCTCGAGACATACCTGCGTAGTTTAGAATGCAGACCACCACGTGTGCTTCTTTATGCAATGTCGCTGTAATTGATTCAGTTGAATATTATCTGTGCTTAGAAACAATGTATTGCGTAAACGATAATGTAGTGGATATTTTTTCAGCTCACACTGCACAGAGTGTAATGGTATGGTGCAATGTCCGCCGTTAGTACGTCAGCATTTATTCTTTGAACAACTTCTCGTTAAAACTGAAATACCAAGGGTCAGTAAGTACCTTGGAAGAAGTGTTCCTCATATATATGACCTTGACATTTTCTTCAAGGGAATACGGGTTAAATCTGTCAAACATTTTCAACAACATTTTACAAAAAAATGTCTAAAGCCATGATAATTGGGATACATTTTGTGTACCTGTAACGCAAATATTCTTTTCGAATGTATCATATTTAGATAAAAAAAAATACATTTAAAGCGTTGGAAATGGTCAAAGGTTGACATTGGCTAAAGGGGTTAACGTTTTAAGACTTTTTTAAGTTCTATTAGACTAAGCGTCCTGATGTTTCGTCATTAGGTTCTTGGAATAGTATTCTTTGACATTATTTATCTTTGACGCTTTCAAGGTCATAGGAGTCAAATATGTTAAAATCATTACAAAACATTATTGGAATAATCGTTTATCTATAACCATGGTACATGTACTAGGATATTTTATGTAGACCATTATTGGGAAACATAATGATGTGTCCTTTTATCTTGGAAACAGTCGAGATCCCCCCATCTAACAACAATTTATATGCTTGTTTGGTCTGGGGATAAAACCACGCACATATTCAAGCACAAGCATGCTAACAAGATAACCCCAAGGAACTGGCCTCGTCCCTGAGGACTTAATCTCAGATCATTACATGGAAACATTTGAAATAGGAGAGACGAAGAGATGGGACTAAATAGGCATCCAACCAGCTGCAGATACAAAAAGAAAGGTATCGGCCGATAAGTTCACTTAACATTTAATGCAAGAAAGTGAATACTGTAATGAGGATAAAATTGCAGAATATGTTATCGTTCCAACAGTGTCCCTGCAGGTAGGGCGTAAGAATTGTACCTTCTGCCCCCATTGCATGATCGTAAGAGGCGACTAAATTTGAGATATTTTCTTTTCGCTTCTTTCTAAACATCTTTCTTCTTCCTAATGTCTCCCTTGACAATGCCTCACTTTTAGCCTTTAGTTGAGCGTTCGCCCGAGTGGGACAACTGGTTCGCCCGCTGTCAGTATAATGTGACCGGGTTGGGTGTCCTGCTGTGTGTCTTCGGCAGTATGTTTCAGTGAAGTAGCACTATAAAGTCGGCATCAGCTCCGCGCTATCATAAGGAGACAAACACGAACATATCGCAGCCTTCCAAAACACACACGCATACACTACACGCATTTATCTTGCTCACGTGAGAGACCGCCCTTAAATGAACATAGGACGTTAAACTATACTTAACCAAACCAAACATCGTACCAACAGTAAAGTAATCGGTAGGCGCAGAGGATAACGCACTCGCCTTTCACCAAGACGGCAGGGGTTCGATTTCCGGGTCGGCCTGAAAAATACATGAGGTTACCTGCCCGACCACGTGGCTACTCCGATTTCCTCCAAACATAAAGACCCCCCACCCCCCACCCCCCACCATCACCCAGCGCGCTGACATTAGGGCTTAAAAAAAGATTAATATTAGTTGAAATAATTTGTTTCATAAGTGTTGTAAAATAAACAAAGTTTACATAATAACAACGATATATATCTGATAATCATGCTTGAACATATATAAAAGTAGCGAGAACCCTTGATTAGATACTGAAACTACAACACGCATATTCAAAACGATCTCGACTGTTATGAATACATTTTTATGCAATTGCTTGCAATCTTGTGATGTTTCACTGAAGGGTTGTTTCGAAATAGCTGATTAAGTTTATTAATTCATCTGTTCAGTTATGAAATGAGACCCTATGTAAATATATTTTCCATGTTAGGCTTTGACAAGAAGCCGTCGATTTTGTGTGGCGCAGTTCCAAGGTTCATCTAGATAGAAATCCAATTTAAAACCAGACTAACATTTACTAATAGTCTTTTTAGTCATTTGACCAAACCCCGTTGAAATTTTGTCTGCTTTGCCTGTGGCCAAAAAGTAGGGCTCGACAAAGCATCTTTAAGGTATTACAGTATCTACGGAAATGTTTAATCAGACTGAATTAGTGAAGTAAACATCCATTGACCGTTAACCTCACATCGACCTCCATGTACTTTCACTATATACACGTCCAGACAGACTACTGGTGCGTGCATTATGTTGGTTAAATTCATGTTTGTGATAAGTCGAGGCTTTCACGAAATCCGAACATCAGTATAGCTTTGTTTGTCGGCCTCGACACCTACAGTACATTTTATTATAGGTAAATACTACGGAACCTAGTTGTTGCAAAGTTAACATTTTAGAAAAAAAGTATTATTAACATCACATCGAATGAAATTGCATCTAGGAAATCCCACGCGTTACGCTCTCTGTACCCCTGGAATCAGTGTGCGCTTACTTGTGGATGAGACAAGAAGACGTGTTTGATACTTTGATGCAAATCAAAATAAACTTGCGCAAGCGTAGCGGTAAACTTGACTTGCTTTGATGTCGGGTTTCTCTCCTCTTTATTCTTAAAAAAGACATGTATTGGTCAGTTTTTTTTTTAACTTGAAACCAATCAAATGGCTAGCAACATGCCTTCTATTACGCTATAACATGTTCCCGGGGTGCAGAGAGAGAGTAAGTAATCGTAACCCCGGGAGTATGGAGGATGATGAAATTGAGACATGAAAATGATCTTGGTGAGACCTCAAAATCTGTTAAGCTTGGACAAAATATCAACAGTGTAACGCTATACAAGGATACCGCTGAGAAAATATAACGAACAGATCAGGTGTTGCGAAAGGGTAACACGTATCTGCTTCATCGAAGCCGACCTTCATATCACACAATGGTATATGTCATCTCAATGAGATATTGATGGAGATCTGATCTTTTTCTTTAGTCTTCATCAATCTATTACTCAAAATGTTGCGTTTGTAATTTTTCTATGAAACTCAAATTTACAAAGGTTTATTTTAGCAGGATAGGCGACAATGCTAAAGATTGTTGTGACAAAAATACTTTAACGATATCCACGGTACAAGGAAATCACCCAAACATTTGTCTTGTAACTTGTACAAAAAATGCCGTATACAAAAAAACTACGGTACAATGCAAAGATAAACTCGAAGAAAATATGTTATGTCACACACTGTATGCACGTCTCATGAGCACCCCATACTCCAGAGAGCTTAAGTGAGCGTAATCCCCGGAGTTTTAAGGATGGGAAAATAAGCGAAATTACTATTCTTTAATGATATAATAAATAGCTTGCAGATTCATATTAAGTTCAGGATAAACAACTCGCCGTCCAATCAAAACGTAGCTATCAAATTCAGAACTGAGATGTTCGTAGGCGACGTCCAATGGCAACCTCATAAGTAGAGACACCGTGTGTTGCTGTATAAACATCCTTTTTCTCATTAAAATAGGTACTTCAAAATCATTTTAGGTTTTGTTATATGCTAACCCCGTTTCTACTGGGAAATCAGGGTTTTCGTCCTGCTGATGTAACTAATGTTCTCAGGGGGGAGCAATTTTGTTTGTTTCATATTTGTTTCCATATACATCTGTACATGTACTTATTGTCATCGCCGGGGCGTGGTCGTAAAGTGAAATCAGATGTTCTAAGACATGTATTTGAGGGGATTGTACAAGAACAGCAGTCAGGAGAGGAGCTCAGTTATATACTTAATTATATGCTTTAGACACTATTGGATCATTGAATTTCAAGTTTAACGCTCGCCAAAATGTCAATGTCAATGAAACGTTGTGTAGTGTATGACCCTTTCAAGCTTCCGTAGTAAGCATCCCTTGACGCTGGCATACTGAAGGTACGAGTTTATGGATAACACCGGAGGGCAAAAACGGTAAAGATGAAACTGTCTGACAAGTGAAGTGAAGCATTGTATGATTAATGGGGGCTACACAACACCTTAAACATCTACATATTCATGACGAGATGTAACAGTCAATCTGATTGGTCAGTTTATGTTATGTGTCCGTTGACTGGATGATTTACACGAGGAAGATATTTTGCTAAAGACTCGAGACGTCATGAAAACAATAAATTTAAAGGTTTCCGTT